GTGTGATCTCCTGTCCCAGCCTGAGGAACAGACAGTGAGCCTGTCTCTCAATAATAATAATAATAATAATAATAATAATAATAATAATAATACAGGCTGGATTCTTGACAGAGCTGTCTTACCTTGTCCCAGACTTCCTCCGTGGAGTCCAGTATGTTCCCGAAGAAGGGATTGACGGCCGCGTTGGAGACCAGGATGTCGATCCCGCCGTACGCCTGGACAGCCTGGAACACAAGAGCCCAGTCCCATCACCACTCCCGCCGGAGGACAGCGCCCCCCGATGCCTCAGAGCCCCCAGAGCAGCGTTACCGTGGAGACCAGCCGCGCCCGGTCCTCCTTGTTGCCCACGTTGCAGGTGGTGCCGGTCACCTGGAGACTCTCGGCCCGGAGCTCGGCCACGGCCCGGTCCACGTTCTCCTTCCGCCGGCTGCTCACCACGACCTGAGCGCCCCTCTGCGCCAGGCCCCGCGCCGCGGCCAAACCGATCCTGAGGGAAACACACAGGACAGGTAGAGGCTGTGTGCGACACACACATCTGCCCTGAGGGAAACACAGCACGGACAGGTAGAGGCTGTGTGCGACACACACATCTGCCCTGAGGGAAACACAGCACGGACAGGTAGAGGCTGTGTCTCACAATCAAGTGTGTCCTGAGGGAAATACAGCACAGATAGGTAGAGGCTGTGTGTAACACTCAAGTGTGTCCTGAGGGAAACACAGCACTCACAGGTAGAGGCTGTGTGTAACACTCAAGTGTGTCCTGAGGGAAACACAGCACTGATAGGTGGTGGCTGTGTTTAACACTCAAGTGTGTCGTGAGGGAAACAGCCTTAGAGGCTGTGTCCTAAGAGGTGGACACTGTGTGTAACACTCAAGTGTGTCCTGATGGAAACACAGCAAGGACTGGTAAAGACTGTGTGTAACACTCAAATCTTCCCTGAGGGAAACACAGTACTGACAGATAGATGTTGCACAACTGCAGGAAATACAGGAAACAAAGATCGACCTAAGATGTCTCTTTACCCACAGAAATCATGTGCAAGTCTTTACTGAACTGAGACAGCCTGTCGCTGAAGAGTGAATGCGAAACAAAATATAAAATGAGCAACTAGCACAACATGTTATTTTAACAACTAGCGTCCACGTTCTTCAATCATACCCATCTGTCGACGCTGTCACTATGGCGACCTTCCCCGTCAGACTGCTTTGTGACATCATTCTATTCCCAGCCATATGGTTGGTCAGGAGACGCTTCCAGAACAGACCAGT